CACAGCTGAGAGTCACGATTTTGACCTTTTCTTGGAAATTATCTTTTCACTGGGCCTGAGAACTCCGTGCCTGAGACTTACTGTAATCGTGCTGGAAACCAACCCTCCCTTGGCTCCCCTGCTCACTGCCAGTGCTCAGAATCCAGCCCTGCCTTGAGGAACCTTCTAGATACCTTCAGGCAGGATGCAACTATCAGCCCCGATGCAACTATCAGCCCCCTGCTTATAAATGAGCAAAGTAAGGCTTATATAATAGGGAAAACAACTTGACCAGGTTACACAGTTAAAGCCAGCACTTCCTTCTTCCCGAGCACTGTGTGGGGTGTGATGCATGTGTATGTGTGTGTGCATGTGTGTGTGTGTGTGTGTGTACTACCTCTGGCTAGACTGTGAATTCAGCTCCAGGGTACAGAGAACATATTTGCAAATAGCCTGGTACTTGATGGGGGCCCAGGAGATGCTGTGATTAGAGCAGGGCCTGAAGGCCTTGGCAGGTGGCTCCAGATCTGGGATCGAGACTGGAGCCACACAGCTGGTGATGTCTCTGGCCTCCCCAAATCCCAGAGGACAGACCACACCCCAGGGGTAGCCCTCTTCTGTCACTTTCTAAGTCTCCCTGAGGAGACATTTTCCCAGGGCCATCCTGCTTGTAAGCTATGGAGCCAGGACTAGAAGCCAGGACGTCTGACTTGAGAGCCTGTGTGCTACTGCCTTCCAGACCTGGACTCTGAGACAACTTTGCTCTCAGCTGTGTGACCCTGTGGAAGTTATTTCACTTCTCTGAACTACTTAACCTCTCATTGAAATTGCTAAAAAAATGCAATTAGATGATGTGTGCCTACTGCCAGACACATGGTAAATCCTCAATAAATAGGAGTTGCTTTCCAAGGCCTCATTATTTCAAATAATGAGCCACCGCTTGGGAGCCCTGGCCAGGACTGTGGGAGGCGCTTGGTTGACATCATCTCCAGGAATTCACCCAACAAGCCTTGCAGGAGATACTACTGGAATCCCTCCTTGACAATCCGATAAGTCGTTTGTCCAAAGCTGCATGGTCTGAAAGCACTGAGACCGGGATGCAAACCCAGGGTGCCCGAATCCAAGCCCTAGATCCTCTCCCTCATTGTGCATTGGTTACTTCATTCATCTACTCAACAAAAATGCACTGGCACCTACTGTGGGGCCTGGTGGTGTTCTGGGTGCTAGAGGCACAGCAGTGAGCCAGATATGCAGTCCTGTGCTCACCAATGGTACAGTTTGGGGAGAGTGAGACGAAGCTGCTGGCCTTCCAGAGTGAAGCTGGTGACCCATGCGCCTGCCTGACCAACATGGGGCAGCCTTGGGGGCTGCAGCTGTGCAGGTGTGGGATGGGGCAGGAGCAAGTCTGGGAAAGGATGCAAACACCTGCTGAGGACAGGGACAGTGCAGGAGGAGGGTGGCCTCTGGTGCCAGTGCCGACTTCAGCTTTGGAGGGGTAAGGAAGAGCGAAATGACAATGGAAGTAGTTGCGAGCTTCTAGGAAGTATTCGGGGAAATGCTATGTCTGGGGGTACAATTATTTATGCAACTATCCCATCACTTGAACCTCCAATTATAATTGGTGTAACCACAAAGATCATTGCAAATGCCGACAGTGACAACTACATTACAGATCCAGTCATCTCCCAGCAAGGGCCCTGGTTGACTGAACTCAGCTCAGATCAAGAGACCTTGGACAGTTCTACTATTCCTCAGAAACAGATGCTCTGTGCCCCTTGGGACTTGGGTTCTCTGGGGACTGTCTCTCCCTGAGGTCAGCGATGCTCAGAGCCAAAAGCAGTATTTCCCAGTGTGAAGGCTGACATCACTGTGGGCACAGCCTGCTGGGGGGCTCCAGGCTAGGGCTCCCCGATCCTCCTGGTATAAGAGTGACTCAGAACGAAGGAGTGTGTGCTTCACTTTGCAAGGCTGCCCTTTGCTGGTATTTTGGGTGGGCACTGGCGCTCTCTTGTGGCCTGCCTTGTCTCTGCACAGGTCCTCTGGGTGTCCTCAAGACCCGAGCGGTTTCTACACCCAGACTAATTGTCTCCACCCTGAATGCTTTTCCTTATACCTATGCTTTCCTTTCCCAGGAAAATTGGATATCCACGCACAAAAGAATGAAATGGGACCTGTACTCACATCGTCCCCCCAAATTAACTCAACATGGATCAAAAACGTAAACATAAGACCTAAAAGGATAAAACTCAAAATCATAAAGCAACAGAGATTCACACTAGATTAGCAGTGATTTCTTAGATATGGCATCAAAGACACAGGCAGCAAATAAGAAAAGTAGACGAATTATTAAAATTAAAAATTTTTGTCCAAGAAAAGAAACAGTAAAAAGGTAACCTGCAGAAATGGAGAAAATATTTGCAAATAAAATACCTCATATGGGATTAACGCACACACACGCAATCCCTAAAACACAAACAATCCAATTCAGAAGTCAGCAAGAAGCTTGAATCGATATTTCTCCAAAGAAAACATAAAAATGGTCAATGAAAGATGCTGAGCATCACCATCAATAGGGAAATGCAAATCAAAATCACAATGAGAGAGCACTTCACACCTGTTAGGATGGCAACTACCCAAAAACCAAATGTAAGCACTGGCCAAAAGTATAGAAACTGGAACCTCAGTGCGTCAATGGTGGGAATGTAAAATGGTACAGCCACCAGTGGAAACCAGTTTGATGGTTTCTAAAAAACTAAAAATAGGGGCTGGTGCTGTAGCACAGTAGGTTAATCCTCTACCTTCAGCGCCACTATCCCATATGGGCACCGGTTCTAGTCCCAGCTGCTCCTCTTCCCATCCAGCTCTCTGCTACGGCCTGCGAAAGCAGTGGAGGATGGCACAGGTCCTTGAGTCCCTGCACCCACATGGGAGACCCAGAGGAGGCTCCTGGCTCCTAGCTTTGGATTGGCATAGCTCTGGCCATTGTGGCCATTTGGGGAGTGAACCAGTGGATGAAGACCTTTCTCTCTGTCTCTCCCTCTCACTGTCTGTAACTCTACCTCTCAAATAATTAAATAAAATTTTTAAAAAAGTAAAAGTATGGGCCAGCACTGGGGCATAGCAGGTAAAGCTGCCACCTGCAGTGCTGGCATCCCATATAGGCACCATTTCGAGTCCCAGCTGCCCCACTTCTGATCCAGCTCTCTGCTGTGGCCTGGGAAAGCAGTAGAAGATGGCACAAGTTCTTGGATCCCTACACCAGCGTGGGAGACCTGGAAGAAGCTCCTGGCTCCTGGCTTCTCATCAGCACAGCTCCAGTCATTGCGGCCATCTAGGGAGTGAACCAGCAGATGGAAGACCTCTCTCTCTCTCTCTCTCTCTCTGCCTCTGCCTCTACCTCTGTAACCCTACCTTTCAAATAAATAAATAAATCTTTAAAAAAATAAAATAATAAAAATAGAATTACCATACAATCTGGCAATGCCTATTCTAGGTATATACCCCCAAAGAAATGAAAGTTGAGTCTTTTTTTTTAAAAGATTTATTTATTTTACTTGAAAGTCAGAGTTACACAGAGAGAGAAGAAGAGGCAGAGAGAGAGAAAGAGAGAGAGAGAGAGAGAGAGAGAGAGATCTTCCATCCGCTGTTTCACTCCCCAATTGGCTGCAACAGCTGGAGCTGCACCGATCCGAAGCCAGGAGCCAAAAGCTTCTTCTGGGTCTCCCACGTGGGTGCAGGGGTCCAAGGACTTGGGCCATCTTCTACTGCTTTCCCAAGCCATAGCAGAGAGCTGGATAGGAAGAGGAGCAGCCAGGTCTCGAACCGGCGCCCATATGGGATGCCAGTACTGAAGGCAGCAGCTTTACCCGCTACACCACAGCACTGACCCCCAAAAGTAGAGTCTTGACATTTATTCATGTTCATAGCAGCATAACTCACACAAGCCAGCAGGTGGAGGCCGCCCAAGTAGCCATCATCGGATAAATTAAAAAAAAAAAGTGTTATACCCAAACAATGGAATGCTATTTAACCTTATAAGGGAGGAGAATTCCGACTCAGCTGCAACATGGATGAATCTGGAGACCATTATGCTGAGTGAAAGAAGACAATCACGAAAAGATGAATAGAATATGATTCCACTCATACGTGCTATCTGAAGTAGACAAACTCATAGGGACAGAAAGTAGAATGGTGGTTGCCCTAGAGTGCAGGGTGGAAAAATGGAGGGTCATTGTTTAATGGGCACCAAGTTTCAGTTTTTGCAAGATGAAAAGGGTTCTGGAGATAGACGGTGATGATGGTGGACAACAATATAAATGACATTTTAAGAGTTTTTACTGCGGCTGGTGTTGTGGCATAACAGGTTAAGCCACAGCCTGCAATGCTGGCATCACATATGGGTGCCAGTTTGAGTTCTGGCTGCTCCACTTCCAATCCAGCTCCCTGCTAATGTGCCTGGAAAAGCCCCTGCACCCCGTGTGGGAGACTTGGATAAAGCTCCTGGCTCCTGGCTCCTGGCTTCAGTCTAGCCCAGGCCTGGTGTTGTAGCCATTTAGGGAGTGAACCTGTGGATGGAAGCATTCTCTCTCTAACTCTGCCATTCAAATAAATAGATAACACTTTTCTTAAAGTTCATACTTAAATTAGTTAATAGGATAGATGTTTTGTTATTGCATTTTACCAAAATGTTAAAAATCTTAAAAAAAAAAAAAACAGAGCTACCTTAAAATTCTCTTTCCAAAAATAAGTTGTCTTTTCCAGGTACCCAGTATGCAGAGGACAAGGGGAATGGGAAGTCCTGGGCAACAGTCTGCCATTTGGTCGAAGCAAAGAACATCATTAGTCACATAAGTCTTCCTGGAGTGGGTGACGTGTCTGGCTGACAGAAGGCCAAAGGAAAGGAAGAATCCCAATGTTGAGTGATAGATATCAGTGCCTGTCTGGGCCCTGCCCCCTCAAACTCATTTCTTCATGGTTTCTAGGGAGACAGGGAACTTAGAATGTCCACATTGCTGTCACTTGGTGACCAGCAACAGATGGCTGCAGCCACCTGCCAGGTTCTTTCCGTCTTCCTGGGCCCTCGTCTCTGGCATGGGCTCTGTTCTGCCTAGGTAGCAGGGGCCCATCCAGGGAGGCACCTGCCACTTGCTTGTCAGCCACTCACAAGTCTCACAGGGCAGCCTTGGACTCGCTGGTGGAGGTAAGTCCACACAAGGTGTGGGATTGCAAATCTCCAGCCCAGGTTCCTACCCAGGGAGGATCCTGGGGCCAAGGGAGACAGAACAAAACACAGGAGACAGAGCTCATCTCATTCTTTCAACATACAGAGCTAGCACCTACTTCCTAGCAGTTGCTGGGACACAAACTTTTTAAGGTATAGCTCACCCTTAGTTGGGAGAGAGAGTCCAGAGGAGCCACCATGGCAACGCCCTGTTCACTCCTCAGTAGGGATCTCTAGGCACCAAAGACTCCTTTCTTGCTTGCTCTCAATTCTGCAACTACCTGCCGAAGGGCTTTGTATGATCCCAGAAGCAGCTATCTACCTGTTCCAGACACAGGTGTCGGTGAAAAAGCCCCAGCCGACTCCCTCAGCTGGGAGCTGGGAGATACATCCTGTGCTGCCTCCAGAGCTCCCAGCAGGAGTGAGCTCCAGTTGCCCACAGAGTGGCTGGGCTGGATCACACCCTCCCTTCCCTTCCCATCTCATGTGCCCTCTCCCCTACTGCTACTTCCTGGACTCTGCTCCCGAAGAAACCCGCACCAAGACAGAATTAGAGAGTGTAACAGGGAAGCAAAGTTCAACGAGATAACGGCTACAATCAGGATTACACAGAGTGGAACCAAGGGTGGCAGTGAGGGAACTGTCTGCCCAGGTGCTGGTGTCCAGGGGTGTACATTGTCTGTTTTTTAAAAAAAGCCTTATAATTAGTAATAAAACTGACCAAATGTCAGTGTGCTTTTTATTGCCACCATGAACCAGAGAGTCTAATCAACTTCAATGATAAAATTCTCCTTTCCATTGAGACTGACGGCTCTCACTGTCCCAGGCGCATCCCTTGGCATCCCACTGATGCCAACTGCACAGAAGAAAGAAAAATTAATTGTAGGCCAAAGAGACAAGGGGAGGCCTCACTCGGAAAGCAGCAATGACCTTTTGATCACACAGAACCAGCTGCATAACACACTCCGTGCCTGAGCGCATGCTCTTCCCTCTTACCTTTTGGTCCATAATCCAGTCCCAATCTTCCATCCACGTTCTGTACAGTCAGCCACCTCCTCCTCTGGGAAGCCCTCCCCGACCCCCACTCTGTGTTAGGTGCTTGCTGTGTGCTTACAGAGGCTCCTGAGTATCCCGTTATTAGGGAAGTTTTCACAGTGAGTTATCTTTGTATTTTTTTTACCACTAGACAGAGCAAGAGCCATAGGAACAAGAATCAGCTGGCTCGTAGCACGCATTTGGGAATAGGGCTGCCATTGCACAGGCATCTTTGTGCCGTGCATAGCCTGCTCCATCATCCATGGAAGTCCAGTCTATGAAAGTAGGAATGAATCTGTAAGAATTTTCCTTAACTGGGGAAGGACATTACAAGCAGAAGGAACAGAGCAAGCAATATCAGTGAAGCTGAAAGCCCAAGGCTTCTCAGTGGAAAGGATAAATAGCTTTACAGCACAGGCAGTATGCCTCAGATAGTTCTGTCACTACCAGCTTTAGCTTTAGCATCAATCAGAGTGCAGTCAGCTTACCTGTCTGCATCTCACACCTGCTCAGCCAGAACCTCAGCAGATGGGGCTCAAAGAACCTGGAAACCCTAGGACCACAAAACAGGAGAGGCACAGGGTCAGCTGACAAAGTGAGCCCTGGACTGCAAAGGGGGAAACTAAGCCAAGAATTCCTTCATGCAGTATTCATGCTTTGTTCCTCTCAGTAGGTGTGCATTGAGTGTAGAAGCCACCCAGGGGCAGCTGTGCATAAGACAGACATGGTCCCTACCACCGCTCTGTCACAGTCATTTAGGAAGACATTTTTTCCCCAAAAAAAGCAATAAATATCTAAAGTAGTATCCGGTTATGATGAATGCTTTGCAATAAAGAAGTCAGGGTAAGGGTTAAAGAAGTTTTTCTGGATGAGGTGGTCAGGAAAGCCCCCTGCTGAGGCTGGGGGGTGGTGAGGGAAGGGGCTCCTTAGAATGAAGGAGCAAACCATGAAGATGTTTGGCGAAAGAGCATTCCCAGCAGAGAACGCAGTACAGTCAGCCCTCTGCACCTGCACCTATACTGCATCTGCAGATCCAATCAACTGCACATGGTAAAAGAAAAAGTGCATCTGTACTGAACACACAGACTTTTTTCTTGTCATTATCCCCTAAACAACACAATGCAATAGCCATATACATAGCATTTACACTGTATTATGTATTATAAGTCATCCAGAGGCAAATGAAGATGTGTGTGGATTCCATGTAAATACCACACTATTTTCTATAAGGGATTTGAGCACCCATGGATTTTGGTATCTCAAAGAGATCCCGGAACCAATCCCCCTAGGGACACAAAGGCCTGGGGACATGTGTTGAGGCTCCCATGTGGTGGGGGAGCCTGGTTAGGAGGCAGCTGTAATGGTCCAAGTGTGAGATGCTGGAGACTTAGAACAAGTGGAAGTGCAGGTGGTGGGAAGTGCAGATGCAGAATACATTTTGAGGGTTGGGCCACATTGGATCAACAGCAGAGGGGAGCCAAAAAGTATGGCTGCCCCCAGCACAGGGGATGTGGGTCCAGATGGAGAAGATGACGTCAGCAGAGCACTGAGCTGGGGCAGGGGCTGGCAGACCACGGGGGAAGACTTTGCTCTTCCCCGAGGTGGAAAGGGAATCCTGTGAGGTCCTGACCTGTGTCAAATGAGTCTCAGGTTGCAGACTGCAGAGGAGCCCACAGCAAGGCAGGGTGAAGGGGGGCAGTGCTGAGGTTGGGGCTATCCAAGGGAGAGCCCACCATGGCATGTACGTGAGGAAACTACATTGATTTGAGTAAAAGCACTGACCGGACTTCAAGAAATGATAGAAATCACGAAGGAGAGAGGCAAAGAAATGACTGAAATTCGGTAGTGGGTCAGGAGTTTTGGCTCTGAGGGCAGAGCCAAGGCTTCTGGGAGAAGCGGCTTCAACCCTTTGTCATCTGCCAAACGGGCTGATGGAAAAAATGGAACTCCCTCGTATAGTTGTTGAAGGAGCTATGCAAAGGTTTGGGTACAGGATGCAGCTCACAATAAACACTTATAAAGGTTATCCCAGGAGCCAGACTGTGGGTTTCCAGAACCATCCAGGCCACTCGCTGGACGGCTGCATTGCTTCGGTCAAATGGTCCCTCTGTGCCTCGGCTTCCTCGTCTGTGAGATGATTATAACACTAATACCAACTACCTAGGATTGTTCAGTAAGTGAACACAAGTAAAGCGTCTAGGCACGGCACGGCACACGAGCTAACAGTTACTGCTACTATTCCTGGGCCATATTCTCTAGCTTCTTCTGCACTCGAGCACTCCCCCATTTGCGGATAGGGAGACTGTGACTCACAGGGAAGCGTTCCCTCCTCAAGGTCGCAACGCCATGGCTGTAGCAGACCTGAGGGCTGTGGAGGGGCTCAGGATACCCTGGCTTTGAAGCGCCGCTTCCTGCACGCGCGCTACCTGGAGGAACCATTCAGCATCGCGCTAGCGTTTCCCGACCGGCGCGCTTTGAGCCGCTGCGCCGGCGCTTGCAGTTACTTCCGGCAGCTGCGTCCCACCCCTGGGCGTCTCCATTTTGGCGCTGGTGGAGTCCCGGGCAGAGCTACGGAAAAGCGGAGCCGAGGTAGAGCTCGTCGCGGGGCCACGCCAACTCACTGCACTCTCCCCGTTCCCTCCTCTCCCCGCAGAAGCTGCGGACGCTCATGGCGGGCTTGGAAGTACTGTTCGCCTCGGTGGCGCCGGTCATCACCTGCACGCAGGACGCGCTCATCTGTTTCCTGCACTGGGAGGTGGTGACCCACGGCTACTACGGCGTGGGTGCCAGCGACCAGGTACGCCGCGGAGCCCGCCGGGGTGGAGTGGGAGCCGTCCTCTGTCCGGAGGCCCAGGGCCCGATCCAGAGCCCCTGACCTCCCCCCTCCCCGGGGCATGGCAAAGCTGTGCCAGCCCAGCCCGGCGCCCCTCCTAACAGCTGGTGCGACACGATTTGTAAACTGAAGGACAGCAACTCGTTTCAGCACAGCCCGGCAGTCTCCCAGACCTGGAGTGTACGGGCCTCGCACCGAGACAGTGGTGCCGCCCCCCAGGGTTCCTCTCACCCACCTGCTCCCCTCTGTGAACTCCTTACCACGGAGCTGCGAGGTGGGGCGCGTGGGACAGCACACCCAGTACTGGCCCGCGCCAGGCATCCGGATCCAAGCACAAGTACGGGCGTGAGCTTTGCCCTTTCTGCACCCCTGTGCAGGGGCCCAGAGTGCGCACCCGCCCTTCATCCTTTGCTGAAGGACCCAGGCCCGTCCACTTGCCACTGCCCCCTGCAGCTCAGCCTCTGCCTCAGGGAAACCCCTCCACACACACACACCCCTTGGTGTGAGAATTGGGTAAGAGTGCCTCCCAACATGGCCAGCCCCTTCTGCCTCTTCAAAGCCGGAGGCCTGGCCCCTTCTGCCTTGTCATTTCCTGGCTCCTCCATCTGGAAGGCCTGCAGCCACACTCCACTCACTCCTCTGGTAAGCAGCTCTGGGCACTGAGAGCCAGGCCCGCCCCTCCCTGTCAGTGTCCTGTCCCTGTCGCACCCAGGAGCGACTCTGAGGAGCAGGCCACCCCACACCTTAGATCTTGTGGTGGGATTTCTTCCTTCCTTTCATTTCTAACTTTAGTTCTGGAACCCTCTAATCCTTTTGTAGTTTCTCAGATTCTCGTCACAGTCTAACTAATTTTCCTCTGCTGACACAGCTTTAGGGCTCCCTCCAACTGGCTTTATGCATTGTGCACACTTAGCCAGCTTATGCTCCTAACCCCTGCCAGTGCTGTCCCCATTCTTCTCTATCCGTTGTGACCAAGGCCTAAAACTACTATACCCACTCCTGCCTTGCCTCCATCAGCGAGAATCAACAACCGGTGTGCCTTTCTGGCTCCTGGTTTTCAGGCCTCAGGTCTCTCACTGGGGCCCCTGGGACACACTCAGCATCCCCATGCCCACTTCCAGGTTCACACAGACCCCGTCCTCACGCGGGCTCTAAGACTGGAGATGAGACTGGAAGAGAAGGGCCGGCCTCACTCTCACACACAGAGCAGAAGCCGTCTCTTCCCAAATGCACCCATCCCTGCTCTGTCCCATCACACTGCACTTTTTTCCACTCACCGTGCCTTTCAGCATCTTAGACGTTGGGACCAGCTGGAGACAGCCCCCTCCCCCGAGTGTCAGGCTCCCCTTCACGCCTGGTTCCCAAACACAAGCACCATCTCTACTTGCCCCACTCCGGCTTTCTGATCTTTACCAGCCCTTTCACTGGCCCCGGAAAGTTCTCCCAGAGAGCTAGTGTGGAGGCTGGTGCACGGGGCGCTGGGGTTGTAGAGTGACTTGGTTTTGACTTTGATGTTCCCCATCGGTCCTTGGCTCCCCCTGCCCTTTGCCCTGTCCATCAGAAGAAATAGGTCTGCCCTGCCCTTAGCCCTCCCCAGAGACCTTACTCCTTCCTCACGCCCAGCTGGCTGCTTCCACTCTGCCACACTCTCAGAACCCCAGGCCCTCCTCCGGGGACTGTGTAGAAGTACCTGCCACAGGTACGCATCAGTGCTGCAGGCCCGCCCCCGCCGCCCATCCCCTCACATTTCCTCAGCACCCATCTCACTTTGACAGTTTATATAAATGGGTTTGTTCACACAGGAGAGTGCTTCTTTCCAGTTGTCATCTTCCTCTTGCCCTCCACCTCAGGCCCCCAGAATTGTAGGTAAAATGTGCAGAAAGAATATAATCTCGTTTTTAATATTGTTTTCCTGAAAATAAATATCCTTGACCAATTCCCAAAGGTCCATGTAATTCTCTTTTCCTGGTACTATGTGCTGTGGGGCTCCACAGGCCAGAAAAAGATGTGACAACTTTGGGGAGGCCAAGGAGCCTGGGGGATGGGGGTTTTGGAAGGCCTCGCCTACTGTCCCCCATCCCCCCATGGGTGTTTAGGTGACAGACTAGACTGTGGTGTAGTTTTGCTGCGTTTGGCCTTTTCTCAAGCACCACGAGGCTCAGTTGCGCTGATCTCTCCATTCTGCCACGTCTGCTCTCGTTTGGAGCAGAAGCTGTTGGAGAGGCATCGTTGCTGTTAGTTTATTAAAGAGCAGGTTTAATTTTCTAGCCTGGGGCCAGCACACTGGGCTGAGACCGGTAGTGTGTGCCAGGTTCAGAGGATGTTTGTGTTGCCTCCAGCTACCTCCTGCTCCCCACCCTTCTGGGGGTGATAAGAGGGGAAGAAGGTCCCAAGAGCTTGTTCTTGACTATGTGTCAGCAGTTAAATAGAAAGTTGTGCTGTCTGCTTTTCTCTTTGATTTTGCCTATTCTGCTATGTAAAACTTGGTTGGAAGAGCTGTGCTGCAATTGACTTCAACAAAAATCCTGTTTTTGAATTTGGATTTCCTTCTTAAAGTCAGTGCTACTCCCCATTAAGAGCTTTACAACCGTGACAGGTGATTTAGGTGGCAAGAGCATAGAAATGGTCAAGGACTTCAGATAGAGAATATTGTTTTCTGTTGTAGAAATCTAAGCATTTTAAAGAAAGAGAAAATGCCCAAAATGATCCTTTTGAATTTCTTTGCATTTAGTTTAGCCCAGAAACACTGGAGTGAACTCATGGCCGTTAAAGAATGCTTCCATCCCCAGGATTTTACCTGGGAAGTCAATCAGTCACCTGTATTCTCTTGAGACTGGTCTGGTGGGCATGGCTGGGAAAATCTCCAGTTATAGTCTGGGTAGCCAGGAACTCTGAATTTCAAACAGCTGTGCACCTGACTAGTAATGACCATGCTTCAGTTTTTCATTCCAGTGAGTTAAAGCACTTGATCTTGCACTGGCTGCTTTCCAGCTTAGCTTTCTGGGACACCTGATATTTGACCTCAGGGCCCAAAGGGTAGTTGAGTGCTATGTTTGGCCTGATAGCACTGGGGCGTGTCCCTCTCAGTCCCATCTCTGCTTTCAGGGGAACATTAGTTGCTCTGCAGGGCAAGGCATGAGCCTTACCTGACCTCAGGGACTCTCTCTTACTCTAAAAACCAAAAGGGATGGGATGGTCAGCAGACCAAATGATTTTTTTTTTAATTTTTTAATTTATTTGACAGGTAGAAATATAGATAGTGAGATAAAGAGAGAAAGCTCTTCTTCCATTGGTTCACCCCCAAAATGGCCGCTATGGCTGGCACTGTGCCCATCCGAAGCCAGGAGCCAGGAGCTTCCTCCAGGTCCCCAACGTGGGTACAGGGACCCAAAGACTTGAACCATTTTCTACTGCTTTCCCAGGCCACAGCAGAGAGCTGGATCAGAAGAGGAGCAGCCGGGACTAGAACCAGCGCCCATATGGGATGCTGGCATTTCAGGCCAGGGCTTTAACCTGCTGCGCCACAGCGCCGGCTCCCCAAGTGATTTATTTCAAGAGAGAATTCTGGTGATCGAATGCTATATGGGGAGGATATTATGTAAATGAAAAGACCCTCAACAGGACAAAGCTGAGGCATGTCATCAGATCCCTGACTCACAAAGCAGACTTCACGTCCACCACGCCTACTGTGGTGCTGGAGGCCTGTCCAGGGTGGGAGGAGGCGAGTTTCTTTTTCCCACTTGGAAGAATGGTTGATTAGTTTCACTTTTGCTTTTTGTTACTTTGATTTCTCAGCTTCAGGCCTATGAATTTCCTCATTATTGGGCCAGATTTTCATCCAGGCCAGTTGCAGCATCCACTACCTCCAGGGGATTCCTGAGCACCAGCGGTGGCCAAAGCGGAGAAGCCAGCTGCTCCCAATTCGTGTCCTCTGCTGTCCTTGGTGTAAAGTTCAGATTGCTGGGCTTTTGTCTTTTGCCCTTGGTCTTCATCTTTGGCCCCACTTGGCCACCCCTCCCCCTAATATTTTCAGTGCAGCTGCTCGGTGTTGTGCAGTGCAGATGTCCAGCCATGGAAAATATATAGCGCATGTTTCTGGGTAGTTTAAAAATTTTCATATGAATGATTCTGGACTGTGAATCTCATTTTAAAAATTGTCTTTAAAGCATTTTTTTTTACTTTTATGTATCATGTTACAGTTAGCTCTTTGTTCCTTCTGACTAATATGTGGTATTCCACTGTAAGCATATTTTGCGTTTTACCTTCCTTTTTTTCCTGCTCTAGCCAAGGTTATGCTAAAGATCCCTTGGCATGTTCCCTGTGTGTCTATACAGAATTTCTTCCAGGAGCTAGGATTTTGGTTCATGGAATATTGGCTCACCTAATGACGCTAAATATTGCTTGAGTGCTCCCCAAAGAGGCTGTGTGAGTTTAAATGCCCGCCGGAGTGCCTGGGGGTTATTCTCCCGACACCCGCATAAACATCCGGCAGAAAACAGAAGACGCATATGCCCAGTCCTGTGGGGTAGCCTGCGGGTCTATTTCAGCCTGTGCTCCCCTGATGCTAGTAGAGTTGAGCTACTGTTTGTACTTGTACACTGTTAGTTGCTCTTGTCCTTGGTCATACTTTGCTAGTTTTAGGGTTCCCAACTTTTTATTATTTGAAGGTTATTAATTCCTTTCCTTTGTAGCCAAGGAAACTGTCTTCCTCTCCTGTGACTGCTGTTAACTTTTTCTGTAGAGCCTCTCATGGAACAGAAGCTATAAATTGTAACTGTCTTTATGGCAGCATTTTTTTTTTCTTTCACAGACCTTCTTTAAGAAATCGTTTCCTCATGGAGAATTCAGTGTATTCATTTCACAATAGAAACAGTTGGAGAACATTTCTCAAAGTTTAGTATGTAAAAGGAAAGCCCTAGGATTATTAACAAGGAAAAGAAAGGAGAGCATTTCAACCCACAGTCAGAAGCATTTACACCCACCAGGCTAGCCAGGCTTAAAAAGTTTTGGAAGCATGACATTGCAGACCATGTGGAATGTTTGTGGCTAATGAGTGGGCAGATAAGCACCTTTTGGGTAAATGATTTGACTTTATCTTATAAATCAAAAGTTCTTCCAGGCATACTCTAGAAATTCATCCACATGTGTACAAGAATGTTCAGAGCAGCATTGTTGATAATAGCGTAATCAATAACCTGGACGTGTTCCTGATCTCCAGCAGTGAGTGTGCAAGTCGCAGCACACTCACCAAGAGCTGTGACTATGAACCAGCCATAGTTAAATTCATGGGCATGGGTGGCTGTCAATAAAAAATGCTGAAAATGATGTCATGTACACAAATCTAAACACACTGTAACGAGTGCATATCTGTGGTTACATGCATATTAATGTAACTCTAAGGAAAGCACTGTTTAAAAATCGCCCTTGAGGGGAAAGGAGGGAGAGTCGCTGGGGTTGGCTGCTCAGGGCCTCAGCAGTAGTGGTGATGTCTGTTTCTCCAGCAGCTGGCAGCTGCACAGGTGTCTGTTCTGTAACTCTCTTCCTGTCTTGTACAGATGTTCTGTTTTGTGTTTACAGGAAAATTATTCAGAAGTTTTGTTTGCTGCATTTTCTTGGGGTTTTGGGGGGCTACCTTAGTATGTAATCAACACGTTAATGACCCAAGGTGCAAACCTTTGATTTAGATTTTCTCAACATCCTTTGTTAAGGTTGGTTGGCCTTATTCTTGACAGGGGCTAAAGAAAGGATGTTTTATCAAACCAAGGCTGCAGGTTCTAGTGCGGCATCGTAAAGACAGTCAGATAGGGGGAGAGAACAGGAGAGCAGGAGTCCAGAGACTGAGGTCTTATGCCTCTGCCTTGCTTGTGACCTCAGACATGTCCTCATAGTGAAGTGAGGGGTGGGATTTGATTGCTTTTAAGGTCCTCTGTAGCTCTGTGTTCTTAGGTCATGATCTTTCTCCTTTCAACCCTGTTGTCTTTCTTTTCTAGCCAAGTCCCGATGATAAGAAATCAGAACTGCTGCCAGAGGGGTGGAACAGCAATAAAGACCTCTATGTGCTCCGTTATGAGGCTAAGGATGGGTCCAGAAAGCTCCTGGTGAAAGCCGTCACCATGGAGAACAGCATGATCATTAACGTGTTGGTGAGTCTCCGAGACACTCGGGGGTCTGCTGAAGGGAGCAGGGCTGGGAACGGCCCTTTTGAAACCTGCATGGATCCAGAGCTGTGAATGTTATGAAATTTTTACCCAGAAACCTCACTTCTGGAACTTCATACCAAAGTGAGAACTCTAGATAAAGCTTTGTACACCAAGATGTCCACTGCCTGGTATTACCAGGAAGGACTTTGTATTAGTGGAGAAATGGTTAAATGATTTAAGGTGAACCCATTAGAGGACAACACAGGTGAAGAAATCTCATAACCCAGTGGGCTTATTTTAGTTTCTTTAAGTTAGCTGAGTTCTTGACTCCTTGGAGGGCTCACCCTCTATATTTCCTGTGCTGGAGCCTTCTTAGCCCCCAGCCTGCCAGTAACTCACCCCCTCCCACATTCCTTCAGCCTGGCTGGATCCCTTCTCTTATTATTATTATTTTTAAAAGATTTATTTATTTATTTGAAAATCAGAGTTACAGAGACAGAAAGATCTTCCATCCGCTGATTCACTCCCTAAATGGCTGCAATGTCTGGAGCTGGGCCAATCTGAAGCCAGGAGCCACGAGCTTCTTCTGGGTCTCCCACATGTGTGCAGGGACCCAAGCACTTGGGCCATCTTCTGCTGCTTTCCCAGGCCATTAGCAGGAGCTAGGTCAAAAGTCTAGCAGCAGTACTCGAACCAGCACACATATGGGATGCCAGCACCACGGGAGGTGGCTTCACCCACTACACCATAGCACCAGCCCCCAGCTCAGCTCATTCCTTCTCAAAAGTTCCACCACAAAAAGTTGGGGCCCACCTAGCCACCACCGTCTACCAGAAAAATCTTAACTTTGCCTCTTTCTCCATTTTGTTTTCCTGCTTGGTACTCACCCCATCTTGTAATTGTGTACATACTTGTGCTTTGCTCTAGTGTCTGTGTCTGTCACTGACTGTAAGCACCTTGAGGGCAATGGCTTTATTTTTGTTACATTTTTGTCTTGGTTTTCCATGTATGTTCATTTAAAACTATCTTGCTAACTGTGTTCTGCACTGTGCTTTTTCAATATGGTTTGGCCTTTACATGGACTACATACAGGTAAATTTCATTGACTTTAACTACTGGGTACTAAGTATTCCTGTATCCCTTTCCCTTTTGGTGAACATTAAGGTGCTATATCAGACAGAGTCCTTAGTGGCAAGTAACAAAATCCCTTGAGGTTAGTTGAATCTTTAGAAAGTATGTAGTAAAGGAGGGGTAGGGCTCATTGACCCACATAAAGGTCTGGGCTTCCAGGAACAGTGCTACAGAAACCACTGCTACTGCCACCACTTCTAGACATCAGGTACTGGCCAGGGCTGCCAGTGTCTTTTCTTGTCAGCCACTAATGTGACCCCTGCAGCCTCAGCTGCTGTCCTCCTTAGCAAGATTTCTGCCTGCCTCGCTTCTCCATGTTGCTCACCTCCAAGTTGAAGTTGTGCATCTGTTTGGTACCTCAATGACGTGCTGTGCCTGAGCTGCCCAAAGGCTTGGGCATTGGGTTTTCTGGCCTCAGAAAGAAGTATCCCTAGATCAGAGAAGTCCCAAGTTTTACAGGAGTATCATAGATTACAAACCATCCTTTTAGTAGTATGTGTCTTTGTGAACATGTGAGTGCTTCTCTAGGTTGAGTATTTAAGTGTTGTTCCCTCACTCCCAGTCATTAGCCCAGAAATATCCCTGTCTTTTGTTTTTCTAGGAATATGGCACACAGCAAGTGGCAGACTTGACTCTGAACTTGGATGATTATATCAGTGCAGAACACCTGGGTGATTTCCACAGGTACTTCTTTTTTTTTTTTTTTTTTTGACAGGCAGAGTGGACAGTGAGAGAGAGACAGAGAGAGAAAGGTCTTCCTTTTGCCGTTGGTTCACCCTCCAATGGCCGCCGCTGCAGCCGGCGCACCGCGCTGATCCTGGCAGGAGCCAGGAGCCAGGTGCTTTTCCTGGTCTCCCATGGGGTGCAGGGCCCAAGCACCTGGGCCATCCTCCACTGCACTCCCTGGCCATAGCAGAGAGCTGGCCTGGAAGAGGGGCGACCGGGACAGAATCCGGCGCCCCAACCGGGACTAGAACCCGGTGTGCCGGCGCCGCAAGGTGGAGGATTAGCCTATTGAGCCACGGCGCCGGCTCCACAGGTACTTCTAAATGCTGTCGTTTCCTTGGGAGTAGGAAGAGAGATTTGGTGGCAAGATGTAAGATTGGGTTAGAGATGTCCATAGATAGTTGAGGGATGTTAGCAGAACTTTTCCTTCCTGGGCACAGTCACTTCTCAACTCTGTCTTCCATTTTTAATTTTCTGGAAGAGAAGATACACATAGGAAATGCTACAGGAAATGAAAAACAATCGAGAGCCCATGAGCTGCTATAGTGGCTTCCGGGTAGAGTCCAGGCCTCACCAATTGGAGGAAGTGTGCTTAGTCAAGTCTCCACGCCACCCTCAATTTCTTTTAAAGCAAATGGGTTGGCAGCAAAATTCAGCAGGAAGTGCAGAGTTCCCATATACCAACTTGCACAGCCTTACCTGTGGTCACCTGCCAGAGTGGGACATCTGTTACAATCAATGAACAAACCTACATTGACGTTTTTGTCTCTATCAGGGCTCACTCTTGTCATTATACTTCCTGTGGTTCTGATACATTTAGACTGTATCCACTGGAATATGATGTAGTGGTTTCACTACCTCAAAACTCCTCTGTGCTCCATCTAGTCATCATTCTCCCAACCCACCCAGCCCTGGGGAGCCACTCACCTTCTTACTTTCTCCATTGTTTTGCCTTTTCTAGAATGTTGCATAGTTAGAATGTGATTCCATACAAACTGTCTTCCAAAATGGCTGTACCATTTTACATTCCAAGTAGTAATAAATGAGAGATCCTATTGTTTCACACCCTTGCTAACATTTGATAGTGGCAGGGTTTTAGATTTAGGCCATTCTAATAGTGGTGTCTCATTGTTTTAATTTGCAATTCCCTAGTGACATATGATGTAGAATATCTTTTCTTGAGCTTATTTGCCATCTATATTTCTGAACAAAGGTTTCCTTCAGGTCTTTCCTTCTTCCTTTTTAAATTGAGTTGTCCAATTTCTTGTTGAGTTTTAAGGGTTCTTCAGATATTTTATATAACAATCCTTTATCTGATGTGTGTTTTGCAAATTTTTTCTGCCAGCCTGTGGATTGTCTTCTCATTCTTGACATCCTAACCTTTTTTATTGAGGTGGATTACAAAAATACCCAACAAACACCCATTTAGCCATCATGTTGATTGACCAATTGTTAACCTTTTTCCACTTTTGCTTCATTTTTCCATATTCTTTTTTGTTCTTGAACCACCTCAGAATTATTTGCAGACTTTATAAGTCTTTTTTTTTTTTTTTTTTTTTTTTTTTTTTTTTTTTGACAGGCAGAGTGGACAGTGAGAGAGAGAGACAGAGAGAAAGGTCTTCCTTTTGCCGTTGGTTCACCCTCCAATGGCCACCGCGGCCGGCGCGCTGCAGCCCGCACCGCGCTGATCCAATGGCAGGAGCCAGGTGCTTCTCCTGGTCTCCCATGGGGTGCAGGGCCCAAGTACTTGGGTCATCCTCCACTGCACTCCCGAGCCACAGCAGAGAGCTGGCCTGGAAGAGGGGCAACCGGGACAGAATCCGGCGCCCCGACCAGGACTAGAACCCGGTGTGCCGGCACCGCAAGGCGGAGGATTAGCCTATTGAGCCGCGGTGCCGGCCCAACTTTATAAGTCTTCATCCCTAAGTATTTCAGCATGTATCTTAGAAGGACCTCCTCCTACATAACCTTAATCACACTTAGGGAAGGTAGCGTTGATACAGTATTATTTAATATACAGTCCCAGTTCAGATTTGTGCAGTCATCCCAGCAGTGTTCTTTATAGCTAGTCTTTTGGTTTTTTTCCCCATCTGTCCAAAAATCATACATTACATTCATTTTTGTCCCTAAATCTTTAATGTAGCACAGTTTACTAGACTTGTTTTTGCTGTTTTTCAAGGCCTTGATATTTTGAAGACTTGGGATCCAGTGTGCAGGATTTTTCACGTTGTTTGCACATGCGCAGATTCATCAGATTGCTTCCTCATTTGCTTCAGGTTGAACTACATCTGTGAGCGCCTGTCCTCAGGGCTTCACATCGGGGACATGATATCTGTCAGCCTTATCACTGGTGCTGTTATCTGCCAGATTTCTGTAAGGCGTCTGTTTTCCTCTATGTTTGATAAATTATGAAGGCTCATAAAATCTGCACATAATTCTCAGATGACTCAAGAACACAAAGGAATATAGAAAAATTAAGTAATTGATATTACAAGATTATGAATATTCTGTTTCACAATGGTCTTTTGCCCTGTGATTTTAGCATCTATTGGTTATTCTTGCCTGAACCAACTTTTACAGGGATGATTATAAAATAGTAATTTTGTGTATTTATCATTCTTCCTACATTTTTAATTAGCTCTTTTTATATAAACATACAAGAATTTACTGTTCTCCCTGTCCCCTTTATTTTTCATTTATTAAACATTAATGTGTATTCTTGGATTTGGAGTTCTCTTTTTACTCACTGTTGTAGTCATTTCTGTTAATGTCAACGTTCAGGTTGTCCCAGAGTTTACCAGGGGGAGGCTCTTCAGTCTGGCTCCTTGGATCTCCTGATGTCATCTTCTGGCACAGTAAGATGTTCTGAGCTCACCTTGTCCTTCCCTTGCTCCTGCTCTGGCATCAGTCATTTCTCTGAAGAGCCATGATGTCCTTTAATGGGAAATCGTATTTAAAAAACAAAATCCGGGGCCTCAGTGTACTCACTAATATTAAGGTGCATAGCTTCTAGGATCTTTCAGTGGATAGTGCTAGGAATCTTTTCCTTAAATTATAAATTCACGGCTACCTGTCTTTTTAATCTAATACCCCGGGATTCTTCTCTTGTTCCTTACTTCTGTCTCCATTTTCCTGTGGCAAGAATACTGATTCCCAGTAGCATCACCATATTTATTCATGTGCTTGGTCTTAAAAGACACACAAATAGTTTCTGAACTTCTCCATTAGCCTTTACCCAGAGCAAACTTCTAAATAAAGTTCCGAGTATGATCTCTTTCCAGTTATCTTTGTCCTTTGGCTCTCTACAGTGGGACTCTGCATTGTCAGAGTATTGTGTTCAAAAGATACTTAGATTCATGCTTGATTTTCCCTCAGAGTAATAAGTTACCTGCTTGCTGTATAGTCAGGCCCAGCTCATTCCACTTTCTTCCATTCGAGGGGCTTTTCCCCCATCCTTGTTGACTTGACCTCCTATAGATTTTTTTTTCTTTTTTTAACAGGCAGAGTGGACAGTGAGAGAGAGAGAGAGACAGAGAGAAAGGTCTTCCTTTTGCCGTTGGTTCACCCTCCAATGGCCGCCGCAGCCAGCGCACTGCGGCCGACGCATCGCACTGATCCGAAGCCAGGAGCCAGGTGCTTCTCCTGGTCTCCCATGCGGGTGCAGGGTCCAAGGACTTGGGCCATCCTCCACTGCACTCCCGAGCCATAGCAGAGAGCTGGCCTGGAAAAGGGGCAACTGGGACAGAATCTGGCGCCCCGACCGGGTCTAGAACCTGGTGTGCCGGCACCGCAAGGCGGAGGATTAGTCTATTGAGCTGTGGCGCCAGCCTACCTCCTATAGATTTTTGGTGAAGCTGTGCATCATTATAAATTCACAGAGATCAAACCTTGAGTGAACCACAGATTTACCTAGAAATCCTGCTGCATTAATTGCATCCAAGCAGCAGTAACTATATTGAACCCATTCCACTCCTTTTGGACTTCCAAATAACCCACCACCAGCATTCTTGCTGCTCCTCTGTCTCTTACCCTCTCCATGTGAGGAGGTCCCTTCCATAATCTACTCCTTCCTTCCACCCTCCGGTGCATTCCCACACAACAATCAAACACGTCTTTCTTTTTTTCTTTTTTTTTTGATTTATTTATTTATTTGGAAAGCAGAGTGATAGAGAGGGGGAGACAGAGATCTTCCATCTGCTGGTTCACTCCCCAAATGGCTATAGCAGCCAGAACTATGCCAAGCTAAAGCCAAGAACTCCATCCAGGTCTTCCCCATGGGTAGCAGGGGCCTAAGTACTTGGACCATCTTCCACTGCCTTCCCAGGGGCGTTAGCTGGAAGCTTGATTGGAAACAGAATAGCTAGGACTTGGACCAGCACTCAATATGGGATGTAAATTACAAGGGGTAGCTTAACCCACTGCACTTAGTGCTGGCTCCAGACCAGTCTTTTTAAAACATGGATCAGATCATGGTTGTGATTCTTTCTTAAAACTCTGCATTGACACCACCTCACACCCGTTAGTATGGCTACTATTAAAATAAATAAATAAATATCAATAAAAAGGTAGAGAAATTGGGGATCATTGTGCCTTGTTGATGGAACTATAAAATGGCACAGCCACTGAGGAAACTAAAGTAGTTGAGGGTAGTTCTTCAAAAAAAAGAAAAAAGAAATTATATAATCCAGCAATTCTACTTCTGGGCACATACTCAAAAGAATTGAGAGAAGAATCTTGAAGAAATATTTGTACCCTTATGTTCATAACATTACTAGTACTAGCCAAATAGTCAAAGCAACCCACATGGATGAATGGATAAGCAAAACGTGGTGTGTGTATATACAATGGAATTTTATTCCATCTTAAAAAGGGTGTACATTCTGACATGTGCTTCAGCATGATTAAACATTGAGTACATTGTGCTAAATGAAATAAGCTAGTCACAAAAAGACAAACAC